GCGGCCACGGGAGGTGAAGGGATCACGGCAGAGTTGCACCAAATCAGCAAGACACTTTCCAAAGAGGAAAGGTCACGGCAGGCTCAGCTGCCGCGGTGTCGTTTCCTCCGCTCGTCCCTTGGTGGAGTTCTTGAGTTAGTTTCTCCCCGCGTCAAACGGCTCTAACCGCTTTGTGTGCGGTTTTTCGCCGTTGCTCCCCCGCCTTCTCCTTTAGAATTGGCTGTCATGTTTACTGTTTTTAACCTTTTCCTCTATTATTATGAATATGTTACTTTATTTCAATGAAAGCCCACCTGAGTTTTTCAATGAAAGCCCACCTGAGCTTTTTTTTTCCCCTGCGAGAGCTTCTTCATTAGTGTTTGCGCGTATAAATATGTGTGTATACACATAGTATATTTATACATATGTACAATGTGTGTGTGTATATATACACGCATGGTATGTATATTATATATATATATAATAAATATATACAACGCGTTTGTATCAATACACATTAACGTGTCTTTGTTAACCTATGTAGCGGTACACACGTGTCACTAGTCCCCTCTCTGTGACCCGGGCGGGCTCCCCGCTGCGGGTCCCGGCGGCGGAAACCCCGGGAGCCCCCGACCTTCCTCAGCTGCCGGCCCCGAACCGCGGCGGAACCGGCCGTGGATCGCGCTGCCCCTTCCAGCGAGGACTCCCCCGCCCGCCTGGGGCTCCCGGCGGATTCCCCCGCGGCTGCTCCGAGCATCAGGACGGAGCCTTCCCCGCACACGGCGCGGGGCTGGCGCTGGCGCTGCCTGAGGGTCCGTTTAAGGACACGAGCTCCTGTTTCCTCCCAGCTCTCCAGCCTCCCGGGCGATGTTATTTATTACCGGCGATCCCGCTTCTCACCAGACCGGGAGCACTGAGGCCGCGCCGGGGCTGAGCGCGCGCGGGCGCCATGCGCGCGCCCGTGTGTGTACATGTGTATATGTGTATATATGTGTGTGTATGTGCGTGTGTACGTGTGCACGCTGGGGCTGGCGGCCGTGCCGCGCACCAGGTCTGTCCGGGGGGCAGAGCCCCCGCTCGCTGCGCTGCGCTGCGCTGCTCTGCGCTGCTCTGCGCTGCGCTGCCCTGCCAGCGGGCAGCTGCGCGGGAGCAGCGGTGCAATCCACCATGCAGCGCACGTCGTGCCCATTTCCCACGCCGGCCGCCTGCCCTGGGGGAGAAAAGGAGGAGGAGGAAGGAGGGGGTGAAAGAAGAGGGAGGGGGGCCGTTACCTCTGCTCCGAAAGAGGAACCAATCCACTGTGAAGGACGCGGCACTCGCGAGCAGGAAAGGCATTGCACATTCAGAGAGAGGTTGCATGTGAAGACACTGCAAAAGAGAGAGAAGGGGAGGGGGGCCGAGGGGGGCGCAGACCGCATGTGAAAGGCATAGTGTCTGTAAGGGAGGCCAGAGAGGGGAGCGGGGAGGGAGCGCACATGGCAAGAGAAAGGAATCACTTATTCGCTGGAAGAATCAAGCTCTTGCAAAGCAGGCAGTAGTAGTAGAAGACATGGGAGACGACAGGGAAGGAGACGCAGGCGAGAGGCGAGGAGTCCATGCCGTGCAACAGCCCGGAATCCGATTAAAGTTTATGGCGGGGAGGTTAAAGGCGCTTTCATCCCGCCCCTCTTCTGGCGAATACATTAAGTTTCTTGGCTGCGTTTAACAGCACAAAGGAAAGGGAACAGCGGGAGCTTCGGGATGTAATTGTATTGCTAGTGCAGGGAGCCAGTGTAATGCAGTATGCTGGTATTCCTGCGTACTGGTATGTCTGGGTCTTACACACTGGGCAAAATTTCCTCCTCTTGGAGCTCCAGAACAGCGAGGGGGGAATTTTGATAAATGCAAGTTGGTTGGCAAATATAATAGGGATTTGGTATTAATCCTACTTAACCCGCTGCGAAGATGCTGAGCTCCCGAGCCCCCCTCCTCCGTCCGGGACTGCGGCGGTGAGCACTGAGCCTGCGCCGAGCCGCGCTTTCTCGCTGATGCTGCAGGAA